CAAGAGGGCAGGATAAAAAGGTTGTCACCTTGGTTCTCTACTGAGCTATTTAATGCTTAGCCATCTGCGCTAAAAGAGCAGTAATTTTGTTTTTTTTTGAGACAGAGGCTCACTCTGTTGCACAGGCTGGAGTGCAATGGCGAGATCTCGGCTCACTGCACCCTCCACCTTGCGGGTTCAAGCAATTCTTCTGCCTCAGCCTCCCAAGTAGCTGGAATTACAGGTACCCGCTACCACGCCCAGCTAATTTTTTGCATTTTTAGTAGAGACAGGGTTTCACCATGTTGACCAGGATGGTCTTAAACTCCTGACCTCAGGTGATCCACCCACTGGCCTCCAAAGTGCTGAGATTACAGGTGTGAGCCACCACACCCAGCTGGTATTATTTTTTTTTTAGTGGAGATGGGGTTTTGCCATATTGGCCAGACTGGTCTTGAACTTCTGACCTCAAGTGATCCACAGCCTCCCAAAATGCTGGGATTATAGGTGTGAGCCATTGTGCCTGGCCTAAAAGAACATTAATTGTAACCCACTCCTCGATGCTGCTGTGGGGCCAGAGCCCAAAAGTGCTTGTCCTGGCCCCAGCACCCACCTGCCTGTGTGCTCCCTCCCATGAGGGGTTGAGCCCAGTGGGTCTGAGCAAGTTGGTCTCTGTTGGTGCCAAGGTGGCCGACTGGAGCCAGAGCTGGTGCACTCCAGTTCCTACCCACCAAAGGATCAAGGGAACTCTCCCGTTTCACTGTTTGGGGGAAAGTACATTATTAAGCAAGAGAAGCAAGGGGTAGAGTGAGGTTTATAGTATGATAAATAGTGTATATGTTACTTAGGTTTATGTGCTACAGTATGATAAACTTTTCTCTGGGAGGCCAACAGGATTGCCTTTGAGGTTCTGGGTGGGGATGATAGGTGGGAAATGAAGAGAAGATTTTCATTTTATCTTTTTCTATGTTTTTTAAAAAATTATTTAAATCATTTGCTTGGTGAGGTACAGTGGCTCATGCTTATAATCCAGTGCTTGGGGAAGCCAAAGGCAGGAGGATTACTTGAGCCCAGGAGTTTGAGGCCAGCCTGAGAACATAGGGAGACCCTCTCTCTACAATAAATAAAATAATAAGCTGGGTGTGGTGGTGCAATCTTGGCTCACTGTAACCTCTGCCTTCTAGGCTCAAGCGATTCTTCTGCCTCAGCCTCCCAAATATCTGGGATTACAGGCATGTACCACCATGCCCAGCTAATTTTTGTATTTTTAGTAGAGATGGGATTTCACCATGTTTGCCAGGCTGGTCTTGAACTCCTAGCCTCAAGTGATCTACCTCCCAAAGTGCTGGGATCACAGACGTGAGCCACCACACCTGGCTCACACTTGTTATTTTCAATCGCAAGTTGCAAATGCCTCTCTAGGTCCAAGGCCTGCTATGATCTGAGCAGCATCAGGGAGTGTCACCAGTGACAGTGGGGACTGGCACAGGACAGGCAGGAGAGGCTATCACGAAGAGTTTTGAGGGACAGCTAAAAGGGAGTGGAAGCCACCTGGCAGTCACTGCCGTGCAGAGCGGAGGGTGAGACAGCTGCCCTGGGTTGGATTTAGGCTTTGCGGGGTTTTGTTTTTGCTTTCTATTGCCACAATAATGCTACCCAAAGCCTGGCAGCGCACAGGATTGTGGGTCAGCAGTTTAGTCTGGGTTGCCATTCTGGTCTCAGGTGGGCCCCCTTGTGTGTCTGGGGTCCACTGGCCATGGGCTGGGCAGCTTGGCTGTGCCTTGTGTCTCTAGCTTCTCTCCAGCAGGCCAGCCTGGGTGTGCTCCCCTGGCAGAAGTGGAGGTATGAGAGACAAAGAGAGAGAGAGAGAGAGAAAGAGAGAGCGCAAGTGCAAGGAAATGCAGGAGGCCTCACATCTGGGGTTTGGACTGTTTGGACTGGCACATCATCACTTCTGCTGCATTTTCTTGAGCAAAGCAGGTCATAAGTCAGGCCCAGACTCAAGGGGATTGGGTAATAGACTCATCTCTGTAGTGAGAAAAACTGTGAAGTCAGCCAGGCACAGTGGCTTACACCTGTAATCCCAACACTTTGGGGGGCCAAGGCGGGTAGATCGCAAGGTCAGGAGTTCAAGACCAGCCTGGCCAACATGGTGAAACCCTGTCTCTACTAAAAATGCAAAATTAGCTGGGCATGGTGGCACGCACCTGTAGTCCCAGCTACCTGTGAGGCTGAGGCAGGAGAATCACTGGAACCCAGGAGGCAGAGGTTGCAGTGAGCCAAGATCATGCCATGGCACTCCAGCCTGGACGACAGAATGAGACTCCGTCTCAAAAAAAAGAACTGTGAGGTCAAGGGGTGTATATGCAGAAAGACACCCTGCATCCACCCACCATAGCCTGAAACTTATGCAATTCTGGGGGCCCTTGTGAAGGAAAAGCATGCCCATATTAGAAATGCAAAATGGGTGTAAGGTCTTGAAAGGAGGCTGATCAAGTTGGGGGTGCAGATACCTAACCACCGCCATCTGCTTCGTGGCAATCCCTACAAGTCCCGCTGAGTGGAGCTGAGAAGAGGAGCCCAGCCCAGCCACAGTCATTCCAGTGGTAGAGCCGAGGGTAAGCCCCTCAGTCATGCCCCTCTTGCCCTCCGGCCCTGTGTTCTCAGCCACTTTCTTCCTGGGTCCCTATGAAGTCTGACTGAATGCTGTTCCAATTTCTTCTCCTTTTTTTTTTTGACGGAATTCTGCTCTTGTTGCCCAGGCTGGAGTGCAGTGGTGTAATCTCAGTTCCCTGTAACCTCCACCTCCTGAGTTCAAGCGATTCTCCTGCCTCAGCCTCCTGGGTAGCTGGGACTGCAGGCACCCACCACCACACCTGGCAAATTTTTGTATTTTTAGTAGAGACAGGGTTTCACCATGTGGGAAGTAGAGAAGTTCCTTTTTAAAGTTTTTTTTCTTGTTAAATAATAAAGAATAAGTGCGCTAATAACTTTGTTAAGCCCTATCCTATATAGCTATTAGACATGCCACGCTTACAGGCACGTAGTACATTCTATGTCCTTGTACTTTAACCAAGGTATCTGTGCTGGACGTGCTCACAGGCATGTCCCAGCTCTCCATTGCTTTTGCCTGTTTAGAAGAGTTTTAAGTTGTTAGTCAATTGGGTTTTAGTTTAGATTGTGAGGTCTGGATCCAGCCAGCGGAGATCAGACACAGCAGTAAGGATGACTACAAATACGTAAGGGATGAATTTGTGTATTTTCCTTTGTTCATTGCACTCTTGTGGCTCAATGGCTAGCGGGAATGCCCTTCCTGCAGTCCAGGAAGTAAAATCTGTGTTGCTAAAAGATCCTTTGTCTCAGGGCTAATTTTTCTTTGCGGCACTGAGCATCTATTTTCAACAGCCGTGTTGGCCAGGCTGGTCTCGAACTCCTGACGTCAGGTGATCCACCAGCCTCAGCCTCCTAAAGTGCTGAGATTATAGGCATGGGCCTCCAGTTGCTTCTCTACTGAGAGGCTTAATTCTCTGTTTTTTTTTTTTTTTTTAGTTATATCTAGTTCAGACATTTTGTTTTTCTAATTCTCAAGTGGGCCTTACAACAAACTTTTTGTAAACTTCTGTTGCAGAGTGGGAGAGACCCAACGGAACTGGCCCTGGCAACACGGGAGCTCCTCTACCTGAACAGGGTGGGTTCTGAAAAGATCGTCTACAGCTTTCAAGTCCAAAGTGATCAAGAGAAGTTGCGTCAGCACATCACTGTCTTTGTAACCAGGAGAACCCAACGAATGCATCAGGACACTCACATACACACATGTACCCCAGCATTCAAATATACACATGCCCACGCAACACACATTTACACACATGTGCAATAAACGTGTGTATACACACAACTCTGCCTCACCAACATGAGCATCCCTAACACGTGTGCATACATGTTTGTACACACAACCATTCCCATACACACATGCAAATACACATACATACATACATAGGTGCTTTAGGGCAGGGAGAATCTCAGATGACCTGTGTAATCCCTTCTTTCACATATTCACATATGGGGACAGAGAAACCCAGGGAGATGACTGGCTCGTGTACAGGTCAATGGCCAAACCAGGATTATGGACTCAAATGAAGTTTTGAGAACACAGAAGCCGATTCTCCTGTATTCCCCATAGGCACTTGGTCAGAAGAGGAACAGCTACTCAGAAGCACTTGGAGAATTCTCTGTTCTTTTTTTTTCTTCTTTTGAGACAGAATCTCTCTCAGTCACCCAGGCTAGAGAAGTGCAGTGTTGTGATCTCTGCTCACTGCAACCTCCGCCTCCTGGGTTCATATAATTCTCTTGTCTCAGCCTCTTCAGTAGCTGGAATTATAGGCATCCACCATCACACCAGCCTCATTTTTTGTATTTTTTAGTAGAGATGGGGTTTCGCCATGTTGGTCAGGCTGGTCTTGAACTTCTGACCTCAGGTGATCCACCTGCCTCCACCTCCCAAAGAGTTGGGATTACAGGCATAAGCCACCATGCCCCGCCTGAACTCTCTGTTCTTGATTCAAAGGGGAATCCTCTTTGTGGAGGCCAAGTCTGGGAGAGGCCAGGATCAGAGGGGCTGGCCACAGGTGGTTCTAACAGACAGTGCTGCTCCCTTCTTGTTGCCCATGTCCTGGAGAGGAAGCTTCCCCACGATCCTCAACGCTTCTGTCCCTTGTTTTTCAGGGCTGCCCCCATTCTGCTTAATTCCTGGTCCTTTTTCCTGGAAGCCAATTCCTTCCCTACTGCAGAGGTATGATTTCTCTCTGTGCATCAGCATGGTGCCCCAGGGAGAGGAGCTAGTGACGTGCAGCGGGGACCAAAGGGCTGACCGAGCCCTCACCCCGGATTCTTGACCTACTTTATGGTCTGTAGATATGTAAAGTGAGAGGCCATCTCTGGCCACGTCCTGGAAAAGCCATGGCTTATCAGCTGCTGTGGTTCTCGGTGCAAATAAGTCTCCTGCACACCCACTCATTGCTGATTAGGGTGTGAGGGGGTTGTGTCGCTCTTTGAGACTCACTCCCTTCTCCAGATGTCACAGGGTGTATGTGACACATGGCAAAAGTGGCTCCAGGTACAGAAGGTGAGAAAGACCTAATCTTTTTGTATCCTCCATCCTCACCCCAGGGACTTGCTGGCATCTTGATGGGAGAGGAGAGATGGGAGATGGGCACGATTGTCAGAAAGAGGAGAGTCAGGGGTAAAACTGATCCTTCCTTTCTTCCTTCCTTCAACAATAGTTATAAGGTGGGAGGTAGGAGTGGGGGTAATAGTCCTGAGCAATGAACTGGTTTCCTCAGGTAGAAGCCCCTGGTACAATGGACAAGTTTCTGGAAGATTCCAGCAGGGGTAGGTATCCCTGGGCCCTCACCTGGGGGGCTGGGCACAGCAATAGGAGCTTACTGCTTGTTCTCAGGACAAAGCCCCTCTTGTCCGTTGGGTCACTAGTTCTCTGCTTGCATCTCCCTTCTCTCTGAGCCTCTTTCTTTGTGGTCTGTTTTTTTTTTTTTTTGAGACAGGATCTGCTCTGTTGCCCAGGATGGAGTACAGATGCCAGTGGCTCAATCAGAGCTCACTGCAGCCTGACCTCCTGAGCTCAAGTGATCCTCAGGCCTTAGCTTCCCAGGTTGCTGGGACCACAGGCGTGCATTACTATGCCCAACTAATTATTATTGTTATGATTTTTGAGAGGGAGTGTTGCTCTGTTGCCTAGGCTAGAGTGCAGTGATGCGATTTTGGCTCATTGCAACCTCTGCCTCCCAGGTTCAAGAGGTTCTCCTGTTTCAGTCTCCTGAGTCACTGGGATTACAGGTGCCCCCCACCATGCCCAGCTAATTGTTATATTTTTTAATAGAGATGGCGTTTCACCATGTTGGTCAGGCTGATCTCTAACTCCTGACCTCAAGTGATTTACTTTGGCCTCCCAAAGTGCTGGGATTACAGGCATGAGCCACCACACCCAGACTTTTTTTTGGAGATGAAGCCTTGCCACATTGCCCAGGCTGGTCTTGAACTCCTGGCCTCAAGTGATCTTCCCACCTCAACCTCCCAAAGTGCTGAGATTACAGATGTGAGCCACCATACCTGGCTCTGTAGTCTAGGGTTGAATACCCAATCAGGTTCCTCACACCTGCATTCCAACCTTTGGTCCAGAATCTCTCCTCTGGCTTTCTGACTTTGGCCCCAAGTGCCCCTCAGTCCTCTTGAATTCCTGGCCTTCTGGGCTCATAAGAATCTGGCTATACCTGAAGGTCAAGGTTTAGGGTTTTGTATCCATCAGCTGTGACTCTGTAGGACACCTCTGGTGGAGCTGAGTGTTTCTGCCCCCAGCTGACCCACCAGGGGTGGAAGATTGGATAAGGACTGGCCAGACCCAGTGGGTCTATGTCTGCAGGTTTCCACATGACAGAGAAGGAGCTGCCAAGTTCTCTTTTCAGAGAACCCATGGTGGTTGTGGACAGAGAGGTATTTCTCAAAAGCTTATGATCGCTATGACCCCTTGCATTGCCAACTGCCTTGATATTTCAGATATTTCACCCTTTTCACCTCCTTCCTCTTTTTTTTGGATGGAGTATTGCTCTGTTGCCCAGGCTGGAGTGCAGTGGTGCAATCTCGGCTCACTGCAACCTCTGCCTCCCAGGTTCAAGCGATCCTCCTGCTTCAGCCTCCTGAGTAGCTGGAACTGCAGGCAAACGCCATCATGCCCACCTAATTTTGGTATTTTTAGTAGAGACGGGGTTTCACCATAATGCCCATGGTGGTCTTGAACTCCTGACCTCACGATCCGTCCACCTTGGCCTCCCAGTGTGCTGGGATTACAGGCCTGAGCTACTGCGGCTGACCAACCACTTCCTTCCTCTTTTAGTCTCATTCACCCATGGGAAGTGACTGAAGGAGGAAGTTCAAGGGTGAGAGTGAGTGCCAGCAGAAGGCTGGGAGATGGATTGGAGTTTGTAGTTCATTCCTGCTGCCAGGCTCCACCGAGGGGAACGGGGACCGCTTTGAAGAGAAGATGCCCCTGCTGATGCTCTTCTCCCTCTTCTTCTGGATCTCAGGTGAGTGGGCCTGGGTCGGTCTTCTTGGGAGAAGCTTAGCCAGCGGGAGGAATTGGCTGACAGAGGGAAGAAGGTATCTGGCCAGAAGGCATCCTTTATGGTATAAACCATGTGCATGTCATCCACGTACACACTCACCCAGTGTTTCTGTGGCCAAGGCAGGAATACAGGGCATGGCCTTCATCATGAAGCCAGTGAAAGCAGAATTCCTGACCCCCAGAGGCTGATCATGTGAAATGGACAGATGGTAGGCCCTGCTGGCCAGGGAAAAGCAGAGGAGGAACCCAGGCTGCTCAGGAGAGCGGGCAAAGGCCTGATCTTGGACTGGGTGGTCTGTCACCTGCGTGGATGTGTTGAGGAAGGGCAGGCATCAGGGAAGAAGTGAGGCTGGAGAGGCTCCGAAAGGAGGAAAGGGAGTTTGTGGGCAGAGAGGGAGTAGTGGTTCTAGGCATTTGGGGCAGAAGGGACTAGAAGTTGCTGAGGGACTGGAAAGGTCAAGAGGAGATAAGCCCAGCAGGGGCGTAGAGGAAAGGAGGGACAGAGACGTGGGCAGAGCCAGAGGGCAGGAGACACCTTAAGTTGGTGCATACAATTTTGAGTAAAAATGAAGGGAGGCTAGGCAAAGAGGCTCACGCCTGTAATGCCAGCACTTTGGGAGGCCAAAGTGGGCAGATTGACTGAGCTCAGGGATTCAAGACCAGCTTGGGTAACATGGCAAAACCCTGTCTCTACCAAAAATCCAAAAATTAGCTGGGCATGGTGGCATGCACCTACGGTGCCAGCTACCTGGGAGGCTGAGGCATGAAGATCACTTGAGCCCAGGAGTCAGAGGCTGCAGTGAGCTGTAATCACGCCACTGCACTCCAGCCTGGGTGACAGAGTGAGATCCTGTCTCTTAAAAAAAAAGAAAGAAAACAAAAGAAAAGAACAACACGAAATGTAAAGAAGTGATAAGTACTGTGAGGAAAACAGAACAAGATGGTACGATACAGTGGGACTCAGGTGCTGGGGGTACTTTAGGTCAGGTGGGCTGAAACAACCCACCTGAAGAGGGTCCCAGATGCCTGTCTGAGCCGGGACCTGGGAAAAACAAGTTGGAGAACGATCAGACAAAGGATTGGGACCAGGCTTCCGGGCACAGGGAACAGCAGATATGAGGGCTCTGGTGTGGAAATGAGCTTGGCCTGGGCACCTCTGAGGAACAGAGAGGTCAGCATGGTCACAGGCTTCACAAGAACCTGATGGGGAGATCGGAGGGGAGGATATTATTATCTTTTGGGAGGAAAGGTCTTGCGGAGGGAAGTGATGCGTCTTGAGCTGCGAGGCTGGTAAAGGTGGAGCAGGGAGAGGCTCATGAACACTTGGCCCTGAACTCAGCATGGAAATAGAGAAGGCAGACTTTGGGTGAGATGTTAGGAAATGTGTTGGCACAGTGAGATCTGGACAGGCGCGGCTGCTTTTTCTCTGACATCTGGAAATGGGATAATTTGGTGGCAAGCAGATGTGAGAGTCGTGTTGGGGGTAGGTATGGTTTGGGACCTGTCTGGAGTGGGCAGAGATGCCAGCAGGCACAGCTTGGGTGACGACATGGAGTCTGGAGAGCACCGTGAGCCTTCGTGTGTCAGCTCTTGCCAGCCTCTTTCGCGGAACTTCCACCCACAAGCAGCAACAATGCCTGCACTGCTTCTAAATAATTCATTGTTTTAAAATACTCAAGAAAAAAAAAATGCCCATCAGGAAGTTCATTTTCTGTGAGAAAGGAAGGTGTCTTTTTTTTTTTTTTAGTTGGGTTCTCAATCTGTTGCCTAGGCTGGAGTGCGGTGGCATGATCATAGCTCACTGCAGCCTCAACTCCTGGACTCAAGTGATCCTCCTGCCTTGACCTCCTAAGTTGCTGGGATTGAAAGCATGAGCCACTGTGCCTGGTAAGAAAGAGATTTTTTTTTTTTTTTGAGATGGAGTTTCGCACTTGTTGCCCAGGGTGGAGTGCAACAGCGCAATATCAGCTTACTGCAAACTTTGCCTCCTGGATTCAAGCGATTCTCCTGCCTCAGCCTCCCAAGTAGCTGGGATTACAGGTGTTGTGGGCTAATTTTATATTTTTATTTTTTGGAGACAGAGTCTCACCCTGTCACCCAGGCTGGAATGCATGCACATGGCACGGTCTCTGCTCACTGAAACCTCTGCCTCCCGGGCTCAAGCGATTCTCCTGCCTCAGCCTCCTGAGTAGCTGGGATTACAGGCACGTGCCACCATGCCCAGCTGTTTTTGTATTTTTAGTAGAGATGAGGTTTTGCCATGTTGCCCATGCTGGTTTCAAACTCCTGAGCTCAGATGATCTGCCCTCCTCGGCCTCCCAAAGTGCTGGATTACAGGCGTGAGCCATCAAGTCCGGCCTAATTTTGTATTTTTAGTAGAGATGTGGTTTCACCATGTCGGTCAGGCTGGTCTTGAACTCCTGACTGCAAGTGATCCACCCGCCTCAGCCTCCCAAAGTGCTGGGATTACAGGCGTGAGACACTGCACCCGGCCGCACTGTGCTTTTTTCCTACAAGTCTTTATTGTTTCTGTTAAAGTTATTCCTACGAATTTAACACGCTTTTATTGCTAATGTAAATGAATACTTTCCGCTTTATTTTCCAACTGTTTATTACCAGTTTATAGGAAAGCCATTGATTTTTATGTATTTATTGTTTATTTAGTCACTCTATTAAATTCAATCATGAATTAAAATATTTTTTCATTTAAAATTAAAAAATTTTCTCTAACTCATTTCCCTTTTGATAATTATAAATTTATGATTTTCCTACATTGATTAGAACTTCCAGAGTCATGTTATTGTATATATTGTCAATTCATGTTTTGTTAATGATTTAGTAGGAAAGTCTATAGTATTTCACTGTTAAGAATAATTTGGCTGGTGGTGCATGGTGGCTCACGCCTGTAATCCCAGCACTTTGTGAGGTTGAGGTGGGCAGATCGCTTAAGCCCAGAAGTTTGAGACCAGCCTGGACAACAAAGTGAGACCTTGTCTCTGCAAAAAAAGTTAGTCAGGTATGATGGTGCATGCCTGTAGGCCTGTGGTCCCAGCTACATGAGAGGCTACTGCAAGAGGATCGCTTGAGCTCAGGAGGCTGAGGCTGCAGTGAGCCATGTTCATACAGAGAGCCAGAAGTCTCACTGCACTCCAGCTTGGGTGACAAAGTGAGACTCCATCTCAAAAAAAAAGAAGAAAAAAAGAATAATTTGGCTCTTTATGATTTCCTAAGACTTTTTAATTGTGGAAAATAACACATACAAAAAGGTGCATAAAACATCAATGTCCACGTTAACAAATTATCACAAAGTACATATGAATGTCTCGCATGAAGTGTGGTGCTTGTTGAGGATTTTGATGACAATCTTTATCAGATAAAGGCAATTCTCTTAGTTTGCTAAGAGTTTTTTTGAAAAAACATGAATGAATGTTAATTCCTATCAGGCACTTATTTGCATCTACTGAGATGATCACATGATTTTTCTCCTTGACTCTGTTAATATGGCAATATGGCATATTACCCTTATCGACTTTCTTTTTTTTTTTTTTTTTTGAGACGGAGTCTTGCTCTATCACCAGGCTGGAGTGCAGTGGTGTGATCTCAGCTCACTGCAGCCTCCATCTCCAAGGTTCAAGCGATTCTCCTGCCTCAGCCTCCCAAGTAGCTGGGACTACAGGTGTGTGCTACCATGCCCAGCCAATTTTTTGTATTTTTAGTAGAGATGGGTTTTCTATGCTATGTTGAGAGATACTGGCCAGGATGGTCTCGATCTCTTGACTTCGTGAATGCCTGCCTTGGCCTCCTGAAGTACTGGAATTACAAGCATGAGCCACCACGCCTGGCCTTATTGACTTTCTAACGTTAAAATCACTTTGGATGCTTGGCATAAACCCAACTTGATGATAATGTTTTATCCTTTTTAATGTATCACCAGATTTCGTATGGTGGGTTTTGCATTTATGTTAATGAGTTTTTTTTTTTTTTTTGAGATGGAGTCTTGCACTGTTGCCTGAGCTGGAGTGCAATGGCTTGATCTCACCTCACTGCAACCTCCGCCTCCAGGGTTCAAGTGATTCTCCTGCCTCAGCCGCCGGAGTAGCTGGGATTACAGGCATCTGCCACCACGCTCGGCTAATTTTTTATTTTTATTTTTAGTAGAGACGGGGTTTCACTATGTTGGCCAGGCTGGTCTCAAACTCCTGACCTTGTGATCCACCTGCCTTGATCTCCCAAAGTGCTGAGATTACAGGTGTGAGCCACTGCGACTGGCCAATGAGAGATATTTGCTTACAGTACTTTCTTGCTCTGCTCTTGTCAGGTTTTGGCATAAAGAACATGCTAGCTCGTGAAATGGATTTGGGATTTCATCTGTTTTCTATGCTCTGAAAATTATATATAAAATAGACATTATTTGACATTATTTCTTCCTTACATGTTTGGTGAATATTCCCATTGAAGCTGTATAGGTCTGAAGTTTTATTTTGGGGGATTTTTTTTTTTTTTTTTTTGAGATGGAGTCTTGCTGTGTCACCAGGCTGGAGTGCAGTGACGTGATCTCGGCTCACTGCAACCTCCACCTCCCAGGTTCAAGTAATTGTCCAGCCTCAGCCTCCTGAGTAGCTGGGATTACAGGCACATGCCACCACACCCAGCTAATTTTTGTAATTTTAGTACAGATGGGGTTTCACCATGTTGGCCAGGATGGTCTCGATCTCCTGACTTCATGATCTGCCTGCCTCTGCCTTCCAAAGTGATGAGATTACAGGGAGGAGCCACTGTGCCTGGCCTTGGGGGAAGTTTTAAACAAGAGATTTGATTTATTTAAATATGGCAACTATGGGATTATTCAGGTTTTCTATTTCCTTTGTGCTGATTTTAGCATATTGTATTATTTTTTCTTTTCTTTTTTTCAGATGGAGTCTTATTCTGTCACGCAGTTGGAGTGCAGTGGTATAATCTTAGCTCACTGCAACCTCTGACTCCTGGGTTCAAGGGATTCTCCTGCCTCAGCCTCCCTAGTAGCTGGGACTACAGGTGCATGCCAGCATGCTAGGCTAATTTTTGTATTTTTAGTGGAGATGAAGTTTCACCATGTTGGCCAGGCTGGTCTCGAACTCCTGACTTCAGGTGATCCACCCACCTCGGCCTCCCAAAGTGCTGGGATTACAGGCGTGAGCCACCATGCCTGGCCCCCACTCGGTAGTTTTTCAGTGCTTGCTCCCCTCCCTCCTCCGTTTCGGCATACCCAGTGTCTGTTGTTCCCACCGTTATGTCTATGGGTAACCAATGTTTAGCTCCCACTTACAAGCAAGAACATATGGTTTTTGGTTTTCTGTTTCTATGTTAATTCACTTAGGATAATGACCTCCAACTGTATCCATGTTGCTGTAAAGAATGCGATTTTGAAGAAAAACATATATTTTAAGAAAATGCAGGCCAGGTGTGGTGGCTCACGCCTGTAATCCCAGCACTTTGTAAGGCTGAAGTGGTTGGATTGCTTGAGCCCAGGAGTTCGAGACCAGGCTGGGCAACATGGCAAAATCCTGTTTCTACTAAAAATAAAAATTAGCCAGGAAAGGACCTGTTCCTGTAGTCCCAGCTACTTGGGAGGCTGAAGCAGGAGGATCGATTAAGCCTGGGAGGTGAAGGCTTCAGTGAGCCATGATTGTGCCACTGCACTCCAGCCTGGGCAACAGAGTGAGAACCTGTCTCAAAAAAAGAAAGATAATACTTGCCTTTCTACAAGGTGATAGTAATCAGGACAGCACAGGATTGGCATAAGGGTAGACAAGTAGATCAATGGAACAGAATGGGAAATCCACACACACAGGCACTCACCCAGGGTGGTTTATTCCAGAAGCACTAGAAATCATTAGGACCACCAGGACAGGCTCTCCACAGACAGCTGATGTGGCTGCCTCAGCTCGACCTCCTGAGGGTCATCAGTGCTAAGTCAAGGTAAGACCCTGTGGAAATGGGTCTCCTGGTATTTCCTCCCCACCAGGTTGGTCTAACACAAAAATGGCTGCAAAAGGACATTCCTTGAAATCTACAGATTACCTTGGCCATAGGGTAGAGAGAGGGGTGAACTGCAGGAAGCTATGATTGCTCAGTGCCAATATTTTAATTTCTTTTGGGATCTGTTGTGCACGTCAGTGATTTTCCTGATGGCTTTGACCCAGTGGAAAACTGAAGGACAAAAATTTTGTATGTGGAAGGTATATTTCTTCCTTGACTGTTATTTAACTTGTAAGACTTGGACTTGGGAGCTAATTCCCTAAATAGGAGGCATGGCCCTGCCCTTGGCGGGGGAGGTGATGGCACACGAATTTGTGTTTTCCAGGCTACCCCATTGCCACTGAAATCACTGGTCCAACCACGGTGAACGGCCTGGAGCGGGGCTCATTGACTGTGCGGTGTGCTTACGGCTCACAGTGGGAAACCTACTTGAAGTGGTGGTGTCGAGGAGCTATTTGGAGTAACTGTGAGATCCTTGTTAAAACCACTGGATCAGAACAGGAGGTGAAGGGGGACCGGCTGTCTATCAGGGATGATCAGAAAAACCACACATTCACCGTGACCATGAAGGATCTCAGAAGAGATGATGCTGACACTTACTGGTGTGGGATTGAGAGAACTGGAACTGACCTTGGGGTCAAAGTTCAAGTGACCATTGACCCAGGTAAGAGGGAGTGTATGCTTGGATTTGTCTCTTGGGGCCTACTCTGACCTGGTCTCTGAGGTCCTACCCAAGTGACTTAATTGTCACTGAGTGATCTGCCACTTGAGTCCTGAGTCTCACAGAACCCCGACTGACCACTTATGATTGGAGGGGTCAGGGCCTCTCATCAATGCCCCTATGGCTCCCAGGGCTCCCTCCACACGGGGATTAAGCCTTTCTAGGCACACGGTTTCTCCTCTGCAAAGCTCAGTGCCTGAGGACAAGGTGACGGTCCCAGTCTCAGCCTGTGGGCCAAGGGGATGCCCTCCATGGTATGCAGAGACCCCAATCCTTGCCATTGCTTTCTGGAGACCTCTGTGCCCAGGAGTGTTCTGTTGTTGGTGGAGTTCTGGGCTAGGGCTTTGTAGCCGCTGTTCCCACCTCCCGTTCCATACCCAACCTGGGAGAAAGAGAGGCTTAGCATAGTCGGGGTGCTGGCGTCAAATTCCCAAGTCCAGAAAGGTCCTCACAATCAAACAGCTGCATTCCTGGTCCCTGAAATCCCACCATGAGCCATTCGTGCATGTGGACTTAATGATGTTCTCTTCCTACGTCCTTTTAGAATGCAGACACTCTGGGAGGATCAGCTCAGAGGTCCCAGTGCCTTAATTTGCATGGGTTTATTTGTTGGGCTCATTCTGCTGTCCCTCAGAAGATGAACAGCACCAGCTCGAGGGTCCTTGCGGCATGGGGGAAGCACCACAGTCCTCAGGGCCCCATGCTATCCCTGGAGCCTCTGGGGCATGTTCTGGTTTGCACAGTGCTGAGCGTGCATTGTCTCAGTGAATCCTCACAATACCCCTGAGAAGGGGGCATCCCCATCTTTGAAGCTTTGTTACTTGCCCAAAGTCAAGGTTCTTCCTGAATATTATGATTTCATTCAGGGCTGGTCCTGGCCTTTGATGTCACAGATCTAGTCAGTCACTGTGGAAGTTCCCACTTTACTCCTGTTGCTGCTGGATAAATAGGGCTGGGGGTGGAGACTGGCTGAGGCCCTGTCATAAGCAGCAGGACTGCTCAAGTTCAGCGGCTCTCCAGCTGCTTCTAGGCTCTTCCCAGCCCCCTCTAACCCTTCCAGGGCCTGCTCAGCATCCTCCCTGGACCCTACCCATCCCTGCCTACCTCTGAGGCTCTGGAGTCTCCTAGAGGCCAGGGAGACATAAGCAGTCCAGGCTACAGCCCCTTCCCGTAGTAGCAGTCCGGAATACCCCAGGCTCAGAGCTGCATGCAGGGCTGTGGGTGGGCTGTGGGCAGGGAAGCCTCTGATCTGGTCAATATATCAAGCATCAACTACAGCATCGACTACCACCCCCACCACGCCTACCTTCACTACGTTTACAGCACTGGTCACCCTGGAAGAAACCAGTAGCTCCCCAACTCTGAACAGCTACCACTTGGACAACAGGTAAGCCAGCTTTGGTTCCATGGTGTCCTACTTGGCCCAAACTCCTCCAATGGAGAACTCTGAAGTCCCAGCTTCCAGCCTGAGCTTTGTCTGGAACCTGCAGGCTCCTTGGTGATGATGAGGAAGCTGGGAGTCCCTCCCACTTGCTGTCAGACCACATGGTGTCCTTTCAGTCCCTCCCCACAGATCTTTCATTCTGCAGCTCAGTGCTGTCCGTGGGTTCATTCATTCATTCGTCCCTCTTTTACTGTGTTATAATAATGTCTACATGGCTGCCCCATGCTGAGCTCTGGGGACACAGACATGGACTATCCCCGTGGAGCTCAGAGCTTAGTGCAAGAGACGGCAGTGAGTGAGAATGGTGTGGCTCATGTAAGTGTGGGCGTGGGGGCGTGGGGCCACAGGGATGGCTCTTTTTCCAACTTCTGGAAGGACAAGGAAAGGAGGGATGGGGAAGTCCTGTTTCCCTTAATTTTCCTCTGATCACTGTTATGGCTAGAACAGTGGTGCTGATAGTTCCTCGCATCTCTAGCGCACCTGGCAGCCACAGAAGGCTTTCCTGGGCATTATTTTGTTGTCTTTGACCTTTCCTACAACCACCCATGTGGAAGAACAGGCAGATATACACATGTTCCCATTTTACAGAAGAAGAAACTGAGCCTCAGTCCCTTCCTTGGTGAAGGGTGGCGCTGGAGCTTGGATGGAAGTCTCTGGATTCCACACCACAGCTTAGTCATGCCTCTAGTGCCCTGCCTAACCATCTGCAGTGAGATGGACTTTCTAGAAGGAGAAAAGTCCCCTTTCATTTCCTCCTTTCACTCTCCTTGGCTGGCTTCACTTTTTTTTTTTTTTTTCTTGAGATGGAGTCTCATTCTGTCACCAGGCTGGAGTGCAGTGGGGCAGTCTCGGCTCACTGCAACCTCTGCCTCCCGGGTTCAAGTGATTCTCCTGCCTCAGCCTCCCAAGTAGCTGGGATTACAGGCTCCTGCCATCATGCCCGGCTAATTTTTGTATTTTTGTAGAGATCGGGTTTTACCATGTTGGCCAGGCTGGTCTTGAATTCTTGACCTCAGGTGATCTGCCTGCCTCAGCCTCCCAAAGTGCTGGGATTACAGGTGTGAGCCACCGCGCTGCTCTTTGCCTTTATTTTTAGGTCTGCCAAGTGCCAAGGTCTCTTATTTCTGGGACCTTGCCACAGAATCCCTGTGGGAAGTCCCCAGTATTCCAACTACCTGAGACCCTTCTACTCCCCTTCTCTCATTTGCCTTCTGTTTTAAAACAATTCAAACTTTTTAAAGTTTTCTTTTTCTTTTTAGATAGTCTTACTCTGTAGCTTAGACTTGAGTGCAGTGGTGCTATCTTGGCTCATTGCAACCTCTGTCTCCCATGTTCAAGGGATTCTCATGCCTCAGCCTCCTGAGTAGCTGGGACTACAGGCACCTGCCACCACTCCCAGCTAATTTTTTTTTTTTTTTTGAGACTGAGTCTCACTCTGTTTCCCAGGCTGGAGGGCAGTATTGTGATCTCTGCTCATTGCAACCTCCGCCTCTTGGGTTCATGTGATTCTCTTGCCTCAGCTTCCCAAGTAGTTGGGACTACAGGGATGAGCCACCATGCCCAGCCAATTTTTTTTATTTTTAGTAGAGACGGGGTTTCGCTATGTTGGCCAGGCTCGTCTTCAACTCCTGGCCTCTAGTGATTTGCCTACCTCAGCCTCCCAAAGTGCTGGGATTACAGGCATGAGCCACCTTGCTTTGTCCCCATTTTTCTTTTTTCCTAAGCAAACTAATACAGGATGCTCTCTGTTTTGAAAGTTTACTTTCTGGCTGGGCGTGGTGCTCATGCCTGTAATGACATGCCTGTAATGATAGCACTGTGGGAGGCCGAGGCAGGCAGATCACCTGAGGTCGGGAGTTCGACACCCATCTGACCAGGAAGAGTGAAACTCTGTCTCAAAAAAAAAAAAAGAAAGAAAAGAAAGTTTATTTTCTACCATACTGCTTTTGAGACTCAGTCCCCCAAAAAATATTATTTTATGGATCAAAGCCTTATGTAAGTACCTGATTAGGGCCTTTGATTAGCATCATATAGTTTATTCACTCATTTATTTCACTTGAGGTCAAGAATTTGAAACCAGCCTGGCCTACATGGCAAAATCCTGTCTCTACTAAAAATACAAAAATTTGCTGGGCATGGTGATGGGTGCCTGTAATCCCACATACTCGGAGGCTGAGGCAGGAGAATCTCTTGGACCTGGGAGGTGGAAGTTGCAGTGAGCCGAGATTGTGCCACTGCACTTCAGCCTGGGGGACAGAGAGAGATTCCGTCTCAAAAAAAAAAAAAAAACAAAAAACCAAAAAACAAAAAACAAACAAAAGAAAACCCCAACTATCTTTTGTTAAAAGTCTTAAAATTTAAAAGTAAAATGTTGCTTTGTACCTGGTGTCTTTCATTAAGAATTTACTCCCCTCATTTCTCACAGAGAATAACAGTCGGGAGTCATTGTCACAATATAATAGAAATGATAGCAACCAGATTCATGTGAGGACTAAGAAGGACTTTTAAAAAATAACGATGGAATTGGTATAATTGGGATTGCAGATTAAAACGTGGAATTAAGAGAGAGAAGATGGAGTGTATGTAGAAGGGCTGTTAAAATGTAAAGCTCGGCTGCATTATTTGTGGAGGCTCAAACTTGTGAAGGTTAAATACCATAATTTTCCCATTTGTTCTGCATTTTGATTCTGAAAAGAAAGCTGGCTTTGCCCATTTCTTATTAAAAAAACTTGTTGTAAAAAAACACTTATTTCAGCTTTAGGGGTACATGTACAGGTTTGTTATATCAGTAAATTGCATGTTACCAGGGTTTTGTGTACAGAATATTTTTCACCCAGGTAATAAGGATAGTACCCAGTAAGTAGGTTTTGATTCTCTCCCTCCTTCTGCCCTCCATCCTCAAGTAGGCCCTGGTGTCTCTTGTTCTGTTCCCTTCTTTGTGTACATGTGTGCTCATTGTAAAACCACTTTTGAGGGCCCTCAGGAGTGAGGGTTCCCAGGCTGCAAACCACAGTCTTGCAGCTCATCAGGTGTGTGCCCCTTCCCTGCCGCCAGTGAGGGGGGCGGTGGGATTGAGCTGAGAGGCAGACAGTGAGCTTGGGATGCTGGGGCCACGTGTGGTTGTTTCTAGGTACAAACTCCTGAAGCTCAGAGTCCTCCTGCCCCTCGTCTTCAGCATATTGCTGCTTCTCTTGGTGGCCGCCTCGCTCTTGGTTTGGAGGACGATGAAGCGCCAGAAGAAAGGTGAGAGGGCTGGGTGAGGCTGGGCTGAGACTGGGCTGAGTGGCTGGGTGTGTGGCCAATGGCCAGCATTGGCATCTGGGAGCTATCTGGTCCAAGGGATGACCTGCACGATCTGGGAAGGGCACTGTCCCAAAGGCCCTCAGCAGCTGGCAGTGCCAGGGGAGCAGGGGGCACCCTGGAACTTGCTGGGGAGCCCAGGAGGTTGTGGCATTCTCTACCTGCCCTGCACACTGGTCCTTCCCCTTCTCTTCCCTCTGACCCATCTCCCTCTCTCTTTCCTTAATTGGCTCTTGGTGGCAGAGGTGGCAATGGTCTCAGTGAGTGGTCCAGCCTAGGGTGTCTAGACTAGATGCTACAGTCAGGTCTGTGTGGTTGTCAAGGAGGTACTGAGCTAACATGGAGTGGGGAGGAAGAAACAGACATAAACACAAGAGTGCATGCACACACACACACGATCACGTGTACACACACCGCATGGATGCCACAGTGCATGTGCACTCGCCACATTACACACCCCCACGATCATGTGCACACACACTGCATGGATACCATGGTGCATGTACATTTGCCACATTACACACACACACACACACACACGATCATGTACACACACCGCATGAATGCCACGGTGCATGTGCACTTGCCATATTACACACACACGCGCGCATGCATGATCATGTGCACACACACTGCATGGATACCACAATGCATATGCACTCACCATTACACACACACACACATACACACACGTACGATCACATGCACACACACTGCACAGATATCATGGATACCATGGTGCATATGCATTCACCACATTACACACACATACATGTATGAACATGTGCACACACACTGCACAGATACCATGGATACCAGGGTGCATATGCATTCACCACATTACACACACACACATGCACGATCATGTGCACACACACTGCATGGATACCACGGGGCATGTGCACTAATCACATTACACACACACACACACACACACACACACACCCCTCCAAGTTGGATCAGAAAATCGGAATGGCCTTTCCTTCTGTTCCTCCCCTGCCCATTGGACTTTCCAGGCTGCCTACTTGCCCTGTGTGAACTTGCTCTTCAAGGAAGAACCTCTTGGAGCAGGAGCCTGCACTCACAGATCATGATGTCTGGCCTCAGCCAAACCCCTTTGCTGTCTGACTTCACTTCCACATTCTCACACAATTGTACCCCTTTCCCTTCTAGAACAGCTGGGTCCTAGCTCTCACGGGGTCCTTTCCAACACTTCTCCTTCCCCATAGCCTGGGAAATCTTTCACCTGGGAAGAGGGGAGCCTGACTCTTTGTTAATTTGTGTTCTGAGATGGTTTTTAGTGATCGCTTTTTCTCCCGAATATATTGCCCACGACCTAAGGTCTAAGTGGTTTCTGTGTTCTTCAGCATCTAGAATTTTGAAACTAAAAACCAGGGGGAAACTCCCTATTTCTTTGTTGTCCCTAGAGCAGGGATGTGGAGGCGGTGACTGTGGAGGGCAAAAAGAAGACAGGACTGGCAACCACCTGAAAACTGGTCCCTAGGCCGGGCATGGTGCCTCATGCCTGTAATCCCAGCAGTTTGGGAGGCCAAGGTGGGCGAATCACTTGAGGTCAGGAGTTCGAGACCAGCCTGGCTAACATGATGAAACCCCTTCTCTACTAAAAATACAAAAAATTAGCTGGATGTGGTGGCACGTGCCTGTAGTTCCAGCTACTCAAAAGGCTGAGGCAGGAGAATTGCTTGAACCCTGTGGAGGTTGCAGTGAGCTGAGATTGCACCATTGCCCTCCAGCCTAGGAGACAGAGTGAGACTCTGTCTCAAAACCAAACCAAACCAAATCAGTCCCTACTGTGCCAGCCCAGCTCATACACTCTACTCGAGGTTGGGGGCAGCTTGGCAGGATCCTATCTCTGCAGATGACTTTTATTGACAGAGCACCACCTGCCCAGCATAGCCAGCACCCAGGTTGCAAGGAAGGGACAGGCCCTGCCACCCTGCAGCTTACAGCCCACCTGAGGACTAACTAGAATTCAGTGGGATAAATATGATGAGGCATAAAGCAAGTGCCGCCGGGGGCCCAGGAGGAGAGTTAGACAACCTGGGTAGCTGCAGAAGGCAGGCATGACTTTGAATTGACCCCTGAAGGATGAATCAGGTAGAGACACAGTGGAATTCCAGGCCGAGTGGGGATTCTGCAGAAGGAAACTTATTCCCAGGGGAGCCGATGGCTGGCAGGGCCACCTGATCAGCTGAGTGCACAGTTCTACAATGTGGGGAGCAGGGGGCTGGGTGTCCTTTTTCAGGTGGAGAAATGAAAGCTCAGAGAGGTGACATGACCAGTGTCACAGAGTGTGTCTTCTGAGCAATCAGAATTAGAACCAGGTCCCTGTCTCTAAGCTTGGACCTAATTCACTTCTTTTCTTCCATATTTCTCTTCCCTAGACCTGGGGGTTCTTGTGAGTCTGGAGGATGAGCTTTCTAATTCTGAATTGTTGTTTGTCTTTTAGCAGCTGGGATGTCCTCAGAGCAGGTAAGAGAGTCCCCAGGGTTGGACCAGAGAGACCAGGCAGCTTCTTTCCACTTCCTCATTTTCCATCTCCCAGAAGGTCCAAAATATCAGATAAGTCTTGTGCCAAAGTATCGCATCATCAGGGCCCCCTGCAAGGCCTGGAGACTAGGGGCCTGGAAACAGCCAGGGGGATGAGGACTGAGGGGTATGGGATCCTAAGAAGTGGGAGGCACAGAGGGAACTAGGAGAGGGGTACCCAGGGACATGGGAGAGACTCTCGTCCCACTTTGGAAAAGGAACCTGTGTCCACAGATGATTCTGTGACTCCCCAGCCTGTGTTCCCTGTCCCAGGTACTGCAGTCCCCAGAGAGTGACCTCTGCTATGCAAACCTGACCCTGCAGCAGACCAGAGCCTCCCCCAAAAAGGCCACCACAAAGCCCTCCTCCTCTGTCCAGGCTGACCAGGTGGATGTGGAATATGTCACCATGGTGCGTCCTTCATGGGGGCTGCTGTGAGGCTGGGGCAGGGGGGTAGAGGCCTGCTGTTGCCCACCCCCCACCTTTGGAGGGTGGGCTTTCTCCCACTCACATGGGCACAGAGGAGGGGGGCATGGGGCACAGCCATAGTCACTTCAAGACTTGCCTAGGAGCTCCCCCAGGCAAGTCTCAACCCTGGGGATCCAGGGACAGGTCAAACATGGTCCCCGAGCTGGGTAGGAGAGTGCCAGACAGGCCGAGTGACTTGAGATTCCATAGGAAATGTGCTGCCCTGGTGCAGGGTTTGGGGAGACTGTTCTGTTGTGGGTGAAGCTCACAGTGGTTGGCAGAGTAGGGGGGAAGCTGGAGGGCTTGAGAGGGGTCAGAAGCTCTGAAGGGTCTGCCGCCACCAGCTTCCTCCGAGGGCTCCTCTGCCCTGTGACCTTTGCTGCAGGCTCCCGTGCTGAGGGAGGACATTTCCTATGCATCTCTGACCTTGGCTGCTGAGGATCAGGAGCCGACCTACTGCAACACGGGTCAACTCACTAGCCCCATCCCCAGCGGGGGCCCTGAAGAGTCCCTGGAATACAGCACCATCAGGAGGCCTTAGCCTGCACTCCAGGCTCCTTCTTGGACTCCAGGCTGTGAGCACACTCCTGCCTCCTCGGCTGTCTGTCCCCCGCTCCCCTCTTCAGGCCCAGCTGGGGACTGGTACCTCTGCCTGATCAGCCAGCATTGCCTCCAGCTCTAGCTTGGGCTCAGGGCCCAGTCTCAGGGGGCTTCCAAGGGCTTCAAGGAGTTAGGGTTCTCTAACCATCCCCTCCTTTTCTACATAGTTGAGGAGGGGGTTGGGGCTATGTCCTGGGGCTTTCATGGGAATGATAAAGATGATAATGATAAAAATATTATCATTATTATCATAAAGTATCACTATCATAATACAGTGAACCTTTATTTATTACCTACCACATGCCATGGGCTGAATAATGGCCCCCAAAGCTGTCTGCATCCCAATCCTCAGAATCTGTGACTGTTACCTTCTGTGGCAGAAAGGGACTGTGCAGAGGTATTTAAGTTAAGGACTTTGTGATAGGGAGATTGTTCTTGCTGATTCAGGTGGGCCCAAAATCTAACCACAAGGGTCCTTATAAGAAGGAGGCCAAAAGGTCAAAGAGGAAGAGACAATGTGATGATGGAAGTGGACATTGGTGTGATGTGACCGGGGCCACGACTGCCACGGCCTTCAGACTCTGGAAAAGGCAAGGAATGGATTCCCCCTGCCTGGAGCTTTCAAAAAAACCCCAGCCCTGCCCACTCCTTGACTTGAGCCCAGTGAAACTGATCTTGAGCTTCTGGCCTCCAGAACTGCAGGAGAATAAATTTGCTTTGTTTTTAATAAGCCACGATATTGGTGCTAATTTGTTACAGCAGCAACAGGAAACTCACACGGTACACGGCACATGCCTGTCCCTAGATGCTTCCCACGTAGTAACTAATTTAATCCTCACGACAACCACAAGGCACTTCTATTACTGTCCCCCCGCCTTTTGTTGAGATGGAGTCTCACTCTGTCACCCAGGCTGGAGTGCAGTGGCAGGTTCTAGCAATTCTTCTGCCTCAGCCTCCTGAGTAGCTGAGATTACAGGCAAGCCACCACGCCAGGCTAATTTTTTATATTTTAGTAGAGATGGAGTTTCACCATGTTGCCCAGGCTGGTCTTGAATTCCTGAGCTCAGGCAATCCATCCTCCTCAGCATCCCAAAGTGTTGGATTACAGGTGTGAGTCACTGCACTGAGCCTATTGTCCCCTTTTTACAGACAAGGAACCCGAGGGATGGAGAGGTTCAGTGATTTGAACCAAGTTTCATGGCGAGTAAGCAGATGAGTTGGAATTTGAGCCCATTTGACCTCAGAGCCTGGAGTCTGCACTGTTTGTGTAAGGAGGATAGTGTGTATGTGCATATGTGTGTATGTGTGTGTGTGTGCTGTTCACACAGGGATCATGAGCATTTATAGATAGTGGACTTACTACCTTTTTTTGAGACAGAATCTTACCTTGTCCCCTAGGCTGGAGTGCAGTGGTGAGATCTCGGCTCTCTGCCACCTCTGCTTCCCGGGTTCAAGCAATTCTTCTGCCTCAGTCTCCCAAGTAGCTGAAACTACAGGCTAATGCCACCACACCTGGCTAATTTTTGTGTTTCTAGTAGAGATGGAGGTTCACCATGTTGGCCAGGCTGGTCTCAAACTCCTGGCCTCAAGTGATCCACCCACCTCGGCCTCCCAAAGTGCTGTGATTACAGGTGTGAGGCACCACACCTGGCCAGACTTACTATCTTTATTCTAGCACCCTGACAGCCTTCCTTCCAGAAAGTACCCTCAACCCCACCATGTCTCATCATCTCTGACCTAACCCAAGCAACCGTTCCCTGCCTGGTCTTCCTCTTTCATTTTCTGTCGTTGAGTCCATTCTCCTCCCAGCAACCAGCGTGGTCTTTTCCAAGGACAGATCTTATTACTCCCTGCTTATAGCCTTCTGGTTGTTTCCCTCCCAGCCTGCAAGGTCCCAGGGACTGCTGCCTGCCCCTTCACCCCCATGTTCATTCATTCTCCCTCTCATAGGCTCTGCTCCATGCACACCGGCCTTTCTTCTGTCCTAGCAAGATAAGGCTTGCTTTCTTCTTAGGGCCTTGGCACTTGCTATTTCTCTTTTTTAGAATGCTCTTCCAGCAGATGGGCGAATAGTTAGCTCCTTTTTATCATTGCATCTCAGCTTAAATGTCACCTCTCAGAAGAGGCCTTCCTTGGCAGGGCAGTGACCCTTGCAGCCCACCTCCGATTTCTCTCTGTCTCGTTGCTTTACTTTATTTCCTTTGGTGAAATGACTTACTTAGTGGGGTCTACATTTATCACTCCCCCATCTCCACTAGGCTGTGTGCTGCCTTACGTGGAAACTTCATCTCATTCACTCCTATATCCCCTATGCCTAGTTACTGTCTGGCTCATGGTGGGTTCTTGAATGTTTATTGGTTGACTCATTGAAGAAACAATGCATTTGGAGCAGAAGACAAGCTCTCAGAGCCAAGGCAGCGGTGTTCATCATTCTGGGAGGGGAGTCCTGGGCCAAACAACCTAAGGAATTTCAGGATTGACTGCCCAGAAGCATGAAGTAGAAAGACTCCTTTTTCCCCTCCTGAAAATTGGTGAGAGGTGAGGGCTTACGATGCCCTCTGGCTAGAGGACCTTTGCCCAGCACTTCACCTAGGCTGATTTTGTTGGAGGTGGGGATTGTAGGGAGGCACTGGGAATAAAGTGTCAGGGAAGGCATCGTGGCTTGGGAGGAGATGACGAACTATGGCTGAGGACCACAGGCCGGTGGCCCAGCGGATAGCAGGCTGTGGGCATATTATCAGTCCATGTCAGTGTGTCCTGGGCTTTGCATGACTTCTCACAGCTATGGACACCCCAAGGGCATCTGGTGTTGGTGGCCTTGGTGAAGAGATCCTGCTCCCATGACCTCAAAGGTGGTTCCCTAGAATCTCAAGGGCTTTTCCGTCCTGGGGGGCTTCGCAGAGCCCAAGCAAACTTGATCATTCTTAAGCCGGTCATCTAAGCTGGTCAGGTCAGAGTGAGACTGTTTTTGATGCAGACCGTTTTAAGATTTACAGAGCAAGAAGTGCCCACAGAGAGATCTTAAAATGGAAAAGTTCAAAGCAGAGCCAAATTAGAGTGAGGCAAGGTAAGTCACAACATAAGGTCTTGGGCCAGTGCGTCACTGTGCCATTTCAACTATTGTGCATAAAGTGGATTGACTTCAGAGTTTATTTCAAGCAGTTATTACATTACTACATACAATGTATAAGTCCGTGCTTATGTTGGATAGGAAGGGATTCATTTTTTTCTGGTAATATACAATCATAGATCCCAGTGAAGATTATTGCTGTGAAACTTCTGACATTAAGCTAGGCACACAAGGAAGACTAGAATTTGGCTCAGTTTGATTTGGCTGGAGGAATTGGACTGCTTCTACCTTCATCTGGAGGGTGGACATGGGCTGGGAGGAAGGTTGTATCCTGGCTGGGCCAAGGACTGGTGAATCAGCGTGGGAAGACCAAGCCATTCTAATCCCTTTGAATTGCCTTAGTCAAACTTTGAAAAAAATGTCTACAGGCCAGGCATGGTGGCTCACATCTGTGATCCCAGTGCTTTGGGAGGCTGAGCCAGGAGGATCACTTGAGTCCAGGTGTTTGAGACAAGCCTGGGCAACATGGTGATCCTATCTAAAGTTGCTGGGGTTTCCCTGCCTCGATTTTTGAATGATTAATTCTTAAAGATTCCAGGCCAGGCATAGTGACTTACAACTCTAATCCCAGCACTCTGGGAGGCCAAGACAGGCAATCAGTTGAGCCGAGGAGTTCGAGACCAGCCTGGGCAACATAGGGAGACCTATAACAAATAAATAAATAAAAATTAGCTAGGTGTGGTGGCGCACACCTATAGTCCCAGCTACTTGAGCGGCTGAGGTGGGAGGATTGCTTGAGGATTGCTATCTCTATAAAAAAATTTCAAAAATTAGCCAGGCACCTGTGGTTCCAGCTAGTTGGGAGGCTGAGGCAGGAGGATCAGCTGAGCCCTGGAGTTCTAGTCTGCAGTGAGCTGTGATCATGCCACTGCACTCCAGCTTGGGTGACAGAGAAGAAAAAAAGGAAGTATCTACAAGAGAGAATAGATTACTGGATATATTGTTTTTACCTAAAATCCTAGCCCTCTGGCTTGGTAGCAGTCTGAAAAGGGACCCTTTTATGTTCTCAGAAATGGGGTTGATAGTCATGAGCCAGTACGGTCAAGTCCAGAGCTGGACAGAGCAGATGTCTGCCTTGTGGTCCTGAGAAGAAGTGTCTGGGTTCTCTCTGCAGTGCTGTGACTGCAGGAGTCAGCTGCTAATCCAGCCCAGTTTGCTCAAGCCTGAGCTAGAGCTTAGAGTGCTAGAGAAGTAGCCAGGGCAAGAGAAGGGAGGCGGCTATGCACAAGAGGCAGGAAGGAAATTGCTTCATAATGTCTACAAATTTGTATGTGGGTGCCATCTTAGCTGTAACCCCACCCTCTATCATGACTCCGCTGAGGCAGATTTTGGGTGGCTGGCCAGTACCTTTATTTCGAAGGAGAGGACTTTAAATACGGTTCCTCAGGTCTGAGTCAGGATAGCACTTACTGTCTTGCTGTATGATTTCCAGGAAAACATGTTCTGTTAAAACAAACTCTAAGATTTTTAAGCACTCAGTCCTGATTGAGTGCCTAATTATTTATAGCCATCTAAAGTTGCTGGGATTTCCTTTCTTAGTTTTTGAATTATTAATATTTAAAGATTCTGGGCCAGACATGGTGGCTCATGCCTCGAATCTCAGCACTTTGGGAGGCCAAGGTAGGCGATCGCTTGAGCCCAAGAGTTCTAGGCCAGCCTGGGCAGCATAGGCAGACCTACAAAAAGGAGGTCTCTACAAAAAATAAAAAATTAGCTGGGCGTGGTTGTGCATGCCTGTAGTCCCAGCTACTTGAGAGGCTGAGAGGGGAGGATCGCTTGAACACAGGAGGTTGAAGCTGCAGTGAGCTGGGATGGTACCACCGCATGCCAGCCTCAGGGACAAAGTGAGGCCCTGTCTCAAAAAAGATTCCACTCGCTAAGGCTGTAAGATCTGGACAGCCTCCTTTTGAGAACTGTGTGCATATCACTGGCTTTCAGAAGATAGAACTGTTCGAGAGTCAGTTGAGGGAGAAAGAAAAAGCAACAACAACCTTGAGTTGGCAACCTCCAAAATCCACGAATAAGGTAACTTTGCACTGAAGTGAGGTGAAGGACTACCTTTGCTTGACACCTTGAAAAATAGAGCTCATAACTGCTTAGCCTTGAAAAGCGCAGACTGCTGGAATCGGTTGATTTCACGTACCAATAAATTTTTAGATTGGCAGAGAGCGATATAGTAATTAGCCTTTTATTCTACCAAGTAAGCACACTTTTTAAAAACTTTTTAGTTTTCTTTGCCAAAGTCAAATATTTCTGAACTCAGTAGGTGTTATTCAGTGTCATTGGAATTGGTAATTGGGCAGTTCATTGAAAAAGTTTGTTAAACCAGGAACTCATAAAAGAGATAAACTGTATTTTTCTTTCTTTCTTTCTTTCTTTTTTGAGATGAAGTCTTGGTCTGTCACCTGGGCTGGAGTACAGTGGCGCAATCCTGGCTCGCCACAAGCTCCGCTTCCCACGTTTAAGTGATCCTCCTGCCTCACCTGGGTAGCTGGGATGACAGGCACATGCCACTATGCCTAGCTAGTTTTTGTATTTTTAGTAGAGATGGGGTTTCACCATGTTGGTCAGGCTGGTCTCGAACTCCTGACCTCAGGTAATTCACCC